TTCATATTCGGGAATAATCCTTACTTTTCAGTCTCAGCATAACTACAGACTAAAGATCGGATTACGGAGTAGTTTTATTATCAGAAGCTTACGACTAACGGACACTGAGTTCTAGGACGAGGAATTGGAATGAGTGAAATGGATTTGCCTTAGTAACAGGTACCCCAGAGAAAGTATGGAAAAAATGTAGTTATAAATGGCAGATTACAAATAGGATTTTATGAATATCAGATTAGGAATCAGGACAACCAGAAGTGGATTTGCCTTCCCTCATGACAACTGAGCCAACAATTCCGACCGTTACTGAGGAAATTAAATATCAAGGTGATAACAAAGGAGAAGATAACACTTTTCACCAGTGCGCCGACGTTACACTAGAAGATTGACAAACTTGATTACTCAGGAGTTTATTACATCAAATGCGGCAAAATAAATCACAGGGGGACCAGAAAGGAGACGCCTGCAGTGAGCATAATCAAAACGAGTAGAACCACAACATTTGTGGGTTGGCACAAAAGAGACTAGGACATAGGACGTGATAGACAAGGGATCAGGCATAGAAACAGAATAGACGCGGTTATTTGGCTAACAATATACATGTTTGACCATAGGCGTGGTCCATGTAGTAAAGGCTTGAGCATGAGAATTACTCTGGGAATTTAGTCTCAAGTTAGTGTCCCAGAGACAGAGCGTGGGAAATAACGCCTCGAGTAGCAGAGATGGGGTGGCAGGGGTCGAGTGAAATACTTGAATCAGGGAGATAGCAGACGGATCCTACAGGGCAAGAGTGAAACTCTGATAAGACCTAAGGAAGGAGGACTACATAACGATATGCCAGACTCTGATCAACATTCCCAGCACAGTAGTGAAGGGGAGTGAGAACGCCAGCGTGGAGTGTGTTGGGTTCTCATGAAAGCCGTTCAAAAGGGCACACCACACTATATTTAAATAAGCTAGGAAAAAAATTATGATAGTTAAGGCGTGATACGTGGATATAGGGGAGGTGAATAGCCCATGACAGGAAAAGTACCACAACTGTTTAGCACAAATTTGGTCAAAGGATCTACTTCGCTTGTCTCTTTGATGAGTTGTAGTGTGGTGCTAAGAATGGCAAGACCCACTGACGATGCCAAATATGATGCCGGCAAAACGTCTGGGAATGTACCCCGTCCACGATCCGACTTTGGAAAGTATCATGCATACAATGGACTCCGTACTAGGTGCGTTCCTCTAGGTCTTCTTACTAATATGACCAAAGTGCGAAAACAAGATCAAACAACTTTGATCCAACGAAAGAAGACTGCGACCACACAAAAGGCTACACCATGTAGGTCTTCCTATATTCGGTTAAGTCTATGTTTTTGGGCAAATTAAAAGTATCTTTACGTTGAGTCGATTTGTGTACTGACCTCGACTACATGGGCCAGCATGCAACGAAGGACGAGCAGTAGGCTTAGCATCTCCTGGTTCGAAATAGCAGTTATTTTTTGTTGCTGCGTCTGCTGCTGGCTATCCATATTAGATTGCATCCGCTGCAGAGTCCAGTCGATAATTTGAGTCACCAACCAAGGCAGATGTTTACCCCGAACGTCAGGATACGTATCAATTGGGAAGTGAACCAAAATGAATCGGACGGTGTGGCACCACTCATTCAACCCAACTGATCGGCCAGGCAAGAGGTTGTCCACAGCCATTACGTTGGTAGACTGGGTCGGACTATGACTTGAGCTTCGGCGGTCCTCGTCATCCTTAGGGATATCTGTGACAGACGATGCCTCGGTGGATGGAGGTGACGATTGCCACGGCAACAGCAGTCGCTTAAACTGACTTCCGATAAAGCGCCAGAGAAAACGAGAGTCCAGATTAGCTAGAAAAAGGTTTACAGAGCGCAAAAACTCTTCCGGACCTGCAGAACGGACCGCAGCCAGGACGGAAGATGGCGCAGAGCCACATAAACCATCGGTGGAAATATGGGAGTCCCCGGGAGGCCTGCCTGATTGCGAGTTTTGTGCAATGGTGTTAGTAGTTGCAGTGGTACTACCAGCAGAGCCTAGATCTGCCTGCCCGGAGTATCCAAATGGCGTGGTCGCCGCTGCCAGAGCCGAGCTACCACGTTTCAAAGGTCCTTGGTAAAGTAGAGAAAAAACAAGAAAACTATGCCAAGGCCTGAAAAATTCGAAGAATGAGGACACATTTAGGTCATAAATTAAATTAATGGAACAACAATTGTCTAGATATGCTATTGAAAAATCCAAGGATATTTTGTATTCTTTAAGATAATACAGGAAAAGTCCCTAATTTTGTGAAAAGTAAAATTTCGAAAATCAAGTCATTTTCGTGAAGTTGTTTGACCTTGTTTTCGCAACTCGGTCATATTGGTAGGAAGACTTAGAGGAACACACCTAGTCCGGAGTCCATTTTATGCATCGTCATTTTCAGAGTAAGACCGTGAATGTGGTACATTCCCAGACGTTTCGCCGGCATGGTCAGTGAGTATCGCTCATCAACTTATCAAAGAGACAAGTGAAGCCCATCCTTTGACCAAACGTGTGCTAAAAAATTATGGTATCTGCCCTTCTGCCCTGGCTTATTCACATTTCCTATATCCTACTATCATGCCTTCCTGGTCACAATTTTTACCGTGCTCATTTTTAATGTAGTGTGGTGTGCTCCTTCGAGCGGCATTCATGAAAACCCTTCACACTCCACACTGTCGTTATCACCTCCTTCACCCTTGTGCTGGGAATGTTGACCAGAGTCTGTCATATTGTTACGTCGTCCATCCCTGGGTCCTATCAAATTCTCCCTCTTGCCCCGTCGAATCCGTCTGCTATCTCCCTGGTACATGTATTTCACTCGACCCCTGCCCTACCATTTGTACTATTTAAGGCGTAATTCGTCCAACCCTTGCACCTGGGCGATTAATTAGAGGCTAAGACCTCAGAGTAATTGTCATGGTCATGTCG